AAGTTCACTGTGGGAAGGTTGCAAGGTGTCCTGAATCCATGTTTCTGGAAAATTAAAAAATAAAGGGAAAAGATTTATTTTTTTGCCTCCTTGAGGGGAATAAAAAAGCTTCGGGATGTTTCTGTTTATCTTGAGTTCTGTCCAATTACTATTAATTTACCACAGTAATTTAATGATAATTAATTACTTATTAATTACTATCTAATTAATTACTATTAATTACCATTTACCATGGCTACAAACCTAGAACATGGTACATGTAGACAGGCTGAATTTATATAGCTGTCCATGGTAGCCATGGCAGATTGATTCCAGGACTCCTGAGATACCCAAATCTAAGGATGCCTGAGTCCTTATACAATATGATGTAGTATTTACATATTAAGCCACAACATATCTCCTGGATACATTAAATCATCTCTAGATTACTTACAATGTAATGCTATACAAACTTATTTGTTATACTGTATTGTTTAGGTACAATGACAAGGAAATGTACAATGTTTAATACAAATGCTTCCCCTCCTTCCTGGATATTTTTGACCCTAGGTTGGTTTGAATCCATGGAATGTGGACCCATAGATATAAGGGCCAACTGTATTGTGATACGAAATTAGAAAATAAGACAAAAGATTTCTTGGGATCCTTGTTAAAACAAGCAGTTGGTTTGCAACCATACCTAAATTAATTAGATAGGCTTAAAGATTGGACGGAGGTAAATGGAAAAGATTCCAGAGTTAACTTACATTAGCTGATTGGTCCAGAAGCACATCTAAAATCTCTCTTTGTTCTCTCTTTTCCATCTCTCCTAATGACTTCATGATTCTGTAACATAAAAAACAGTATCTATGCCTAATAGTCTAAGCACTGATGGACTTTTTTGGGACAGCTAGAAATTTGTTTAGATTCAATTTAAGCTTGATCAATTTAGTCAGAATTAACTTTAACTATCAACTCCTAAGGATAAAATGCTGAATCTATGTTTCTGCTTTAGTATCAAGAACAAATATAAAAATATCAATTATTTCTGGTTTACGGGAAACGGTTTTATCCACAGTCAGTTCAGATGATCAGACAGAACACTTCACATTCTTAAATGTAACAGCGACAATTAATTGTCTTTTTGAAGCTAAAAAAGAAAGAAGATAAACATTGAAGCTTTCCTCTCCACACGGGAGATTCTAGGAGGCAGTTAATGGAAACATGACCCACCAATTCATCTTTATTTGCTATTTTCCCACATAGTGGCCCAGCGCCACTTCTGGGAATCTTAACCCAGGTTGGTAGAATTCTGATTCTAAACACTTTTCAAATCTAGTCTGAAAACTGAGTTTTAAAGGGACAGCATATAGGACTTTAACAACATCATTTTTAATTATTGAATACATTTAACTTTTACTTGATTTCTATATCATAGAATTATTGCTGCATGCAATACATTAGACTGGACATTTTAAGTACATTGTGGTTTCCAATAATTCCATAAAACTTTGGAAATACATCTCGAGATTAAAAATTAAGTGATATAGTAGTAATCAAATAAATGATCAAACATATAACACAAACCAAGTATATTACAAATGCTCTAGTTACAAGATACTTTACATTGAATTCATTAAATAACTAGGAAAGCTACTTGTTGCTTAGACAAGAACACTTCTTGTGTGCTGGCAAGGTTAATTTAAAGCATTTTTATAAAGCATGAGGGGCTTTATTCTAAATTCCATATGTACCAGAGTCCTACTATCAGCGATCTAACCTATGGACAGCTCTGAAAGATCTATCAACATCCAAGTCAGTAGAACCCTGGTTTTTTCCAAAGTCTGCAACCACAAATTCAGTGAGTTTTCCTGAAGAATAAGTCTGCTGCAGACAAGCTTGCTTTCAAGTGGATTAGCTCACCTAAGAACCACATCCACTTGGATTGGCCTACTGTCTTGAGTAAGGTAGAAACAGCTGATTAGGTTACAAAGAAAGGTGTAAAGTTTGGCTGATTAGATTACAAAGTAATAACGACCACACTTGGGGGCCAACATATTAAGAGATATAGAGAGTTTGGGAAGCCCATGCAACAAAGTTGAACTGACACAGGTGGTTCAAAGAGACATTTAAACTAAAACAAATATTTCAGTAAACAATTTTATTCTACAAGCAATGACCTTATGATTTTTATTTATTTTTTTCTTTTTTTTTTTTTTTTTTTGGCTTTTTTTCTACCCCGTTTAATCTGCTTACTGAGAAATTTTTTAAAATTTGTTATTCTACTTCTTATTCTACTTTTTAAATGTATAAATTGCTTGTTTATGTCCTAGCCAATATTTACTTCAATATGTCCACAATAAAACATTAACAGGATAACCCATAACAACTGTATTGTGTAACTTTCTCATAAAAAAAAAAGTGTACTAGGGAACTCAATTGTGTTTTAAATAATTGTTATATATAGAGAGTTAGTGGAATTATTGTATGCAGTTTTGTTTTCTTAACTTCACTATTTTTGATATTTTGTAATACTTGATATATCAAATGAAATCTATTTTTCAACTTATGTACCTTAAGTGCATAATTTTTTAAACTGCATACTCTACATATGTGAATATGTATGCAATATATGATATCTATATCAATATGTATGTCATATAAAATATAATATGATATAATACTAAATATAACTAAAATATCATATGATATAACATTACTTAATTATTAATGCACAACTGATCTTTATAAATAGTTTAATTTATTTTGACAGGGTTTTACCATACACCTATATTTTTTTTATTTCCACAGTTTAATCAAACACATGTTTACATATAAGTTGTATCAAGAACTTATGTTTTGTGATTTAGGCACCCCTTTCAATAAACTTAAGAAAATTACTAATCTTTTAGACATCGAAAAAGAGAAAATTAAAATAAATGTCTTATTTAGATATTATGAGACTAAAAATTTAAAAGCATAAAAGCAGCAATATCCCTAGAAAAAAGTCAAAGTGTTTGTCTATCACTCAATGCATAGAGTTGTAAGTTAGTATGTATTCTAAGTATTATTTGACCATCATTATACTTCCAAAGTTTATCCGAACAGGAGATTAGGGAAAGAAAGGTTATTAATAAAAAACAATGAGACTATCTCTCAGAAATTTCATTCTTTGAAATTAACTCAATTTTCTTTTTTTTACAATGAATTTTTGTGCCCTTTCAAACATTTCCTAAAATGTCGGTATATTGTCTACACAAGTATAAGAGAGGAAAGACTTTCTAGTACTTTACTTTTTAGAAAAATTCAATGAATCAGTTGTGTTAGGATGCTTCCTTAAGTGCTGTAATGGTGTTTCCTAATCATGAGAGTGGCTTGTCCAACATTTGCTTGCAGCATCATTTCCCGGATTTGTAAGTTCACTTCACAGTATGGTAAAGTCCTATGAACGCAGGCTCTGTGACCTCATCTTTACTTGCAAATAGAAAATAATAGCAATTAGTGTTGTTTATTCTTACTGACTTTTACTAAGTACTATATCAACTTCTCATTTTCCTCCCTTAAACCCAATTCTTTAAAGATAAGTAAGACAAACCCTTGAATCTGGCAATTATAGATTAGTAGGGAACAATGAATTCTATATAAAAAAAAAATAAATTAATAGCAGCTTTTCATAAGGAAAGGAACTACTGTGCGAGAACTGAAGAAAAAGTAGACGAACCCCAGATTATCCCACTCCCCACCCCAATATTTTCAATCGCAAAAGACCCCTAAAGAACAATGATTTAAAAAGGCTTGCACAAATAAGCTACAAAAAAGAAGAAAATATCTACCCTCTGTCATGTGCTAATTTTTAGAACACTTGCAGATTGTGAATTCATTAAGGGTATGGACTTAGCTTGACACAAACCTAACATAAACATAAATTTAAAAATGAATAGTTGACAAAATATATCTTTCCTAGGCCTAAAGGAAAGTATTCACTCACAAAATATCAAGCAATTTAGAAACAAATACAGATGGACCAAATATTAACAACTATTTTCAGAAAAAACATTAACAATTATGCTAGAGTTTCCCATGGAAGATCAGCTTGCACTAGGTTGGCTAAAAAGGACCTGAAGTTCATCAATCTAAATGTAACAGGGCTTGAGACAGGTGGTGGATGTTCGAGGAGCCAGGATATAAAGCCAGGATATATCCATCCTAGAACTGTGCTATATGTTTTATACCTGTGTCAGGCTCCTATCAAATTTCAAAACTCAAATCAATTGCCTCTTTGTTACAGGCAAACAGTGATGAATACTAGGTTCCACAACTGTATTTTTGGGGGGACACAGGTGGTTGAGTCTCTTCAGCCAGAAGGTGAACAAGAAGTTTAAAATTGCTTTGTAAGTACAACTGAACCATTTAAGAAATAGGTATGAAATGCATGCTTAGGAAAAAACAGTTAATAATTCAACCCACCATGGTCATGTGGTTTTGGCTTAATATGAGCAACTTTTTTATCATCATATTTATACATGAATGGCTACATACAAAAGAAGGGGTAAATTTTTTATTGAAAGATTTACAAAGGAATCAGACCCTAAAGTCAGATATCAACCTGGTATTATCAATATCGCTGTATAGCAAGAACCTGAAATGCAACAGTCCAAGGTTTTTAAAACTGAAATTTCATTGCCATTTTAAAGGTATTTTAGAGAATAGCTATCTTCAGAACATAGTATATCTCCTCATATGTCTGCGGATTGTGGGTATTGCTAACTATCTTGGCTAGCAGATGCAATGGAAAATCATTGTTTTTTAAGTATTACTCTTTCAGAGTACTCAAGAAACCCAACTAGGGAGAGGGGTGAGGTGAGGAAGTGGGCAAAGAGGGGAAGACTCTGCCTGACGTTGGTGGAAACG